CGAGTGATCGAACAAATTACAAGGGTTCGTCACACAAACTTTATTGATAGCAAAACATGGTTCTTGTACAGAAGTAGGACAAAAACTTTTTTACATGTCAAGGACAGGACCTTGGCCATAAGGTTTACTGGTAGTACTTCTTCAGATATGTCGTGTGCCAGGGATATTGAAGGGGAACACCGTCTAACGTCTCAAGTCGGTAGGTACCATTAGAGATCAGACGATTTACTTTAAAAGGTCCTTCCCAGTTTGGTTGTAAAAGGCCGACATTGGAGCCAGTAACTCTTTTCAAAACAAGGTCTCTTTTGATAAATGAGCGTGGCTTGAGCCTTGAGTTTATGTATTTTTCACTTCGCCGTTTATAAGCGGTATTGCGAACCTCGGCGTCAGCCCGTAATTCATCGACCAAATCGAGACTGGTTTTCAAGTTTGCTGAGTTGGTTTCTTCGGAAAAGTGAGTGACCCGATATGTCGGAGAGGCTAGTTCAACCGGTATCACGGCTTCAGTTCCGTAAGCTAATGAAAACGGAGTTTCTCCAGTTGAATTTCTCGTCGTCGTCCGATAAGACCAGAGGACATAAGGCAATTCATCGGGCCACGATCCTTTTGCAGCTTCAAGTCGAGTTTTCAGGCCATTCTTGATAATCTTGTTTACGGCTTCTATCTGTCCATTAGCTTGTGGATGATAAGGTGACGAGAAGAAATGCTTGATGCCGTAATCTTCACAAAAACTTTCAAATTGTTTGCCTTCAAATTGACGACCGTTGTCGGTTATAATAGAGTTGGGAATTCCAAACCGACAAACGATTGATTTCCATACAAAATCCACCATTTTTTGCTCTGTGATGGTTACAAGGGGCTCAGCTTCAACCCACTTAGTGAAATAATCGGCGGCTAAAATAGCAAACCGAACTCCCCCTTTTGCTGTTGGAAGTGGGCCGATCAAATCAATTCCCCATTTTGCAAACGGCCATGGACTATATATCGACTTGAGGAGTTCAGGATGTTGGTTAACGTTAGGAGCGAATATTTTACACTTATGGCACCGTCGCACCCAATCTGTAGCATCTCTCCTAATGGTAGGCCAGTAATAGCCTTGTCGGAGGATTTTATGAGACAAAGTTTGAGCTCCCTGGTGAGTACCACAGACTCCTTCGTGTACTTCCCGTAGGATTCGTTAAGCCTCAACCTCTGACAAACATTTGAGCAATGGGGTAGAATACCCACGTTTATATAACGTCCCTTGGTCAATAGTGTAATGAGCAGCTCGAACACGAAGGGCGCGAGCTTCTTTCGGGTCTTCAGGTAAGGCCCCGGTTTGAAGATAATCAATGATTGGGTCCATCCAAGTAGAATTTGAAGTCACTGGGGCGGCGTCAACCATGACGACGTCGGTAGAGACTGTTGATGAAGTGGCCTGTTGAGTAATCTGCACAAACTCAACATTATTCAAGTCGGTTGATGAGGCTAATCGTGAAAGAGAATCTGCCTGAATATTGGATGACCGAGGTATATGCTCCTGTTAGAGGTATGCTGTAAAAGCTGTGTTTTGCAGTTTCTATCAATTCCATTTTGATCTGGCAATCATGTTTCGGTCAAAGTACATATGTTTGGAGTTTATTTATTTATGCAATACATACTTCATGTCTTATATTGAGATAGTGTGGTTCG